TTGAAGCCTATCTGTGTACCTGTCACCCAGGTACAGGTTTGAAGCCTATCTGTGTACCTGTCACCCAGGTACAGGTTTGAAGCCTATCTGTGTACCTGTCACCCAGGTACAGGTTTGAAGCCTATCTGTGTACCTGTCACCCAGGTACAGGTTTGAAGCCTATCTGTGTACCTGTCACCCAGGTACAGGTTTGAAGCCTATCTGTGTACCTGTCACCCAGGTACCACCTCTCATGGCGACTCTAATACCATAAATACATATTAAACGAGATATATACACTACTTCCAGTATGTATACATATACAGTGTATATACACACTATATATATATACATATACACGGTGTATATATACGTATAATTTAGCCATTATAACAACTAACATTATTAACAATTTTCTAGATTTAACTGTTTTTAAGTTTATTTCCATTTAAGGAATAATATTTAAATTAAACAGGAGACACTGTAGAGTGCTGCCATCTGTTGGCAGCGGCGGGAACCAGCGAGTAGTTGTTTCAGCGCTCAACAGATGGCGTTTGTGCGGCGAATTCGGCGTTATTTTTAAGAAATTATTTTTTTTCTCTGTTAAAAAGGAAAATTTGCTTTGCCGGGAGAAATCCTGGTTATATATCTTTCTTATAAGGGGTTAAAGAGAGGTTGGAGGGGGTAAATAAGGGGGTGAGATGGGGGTTTGAAGGATTGTGGGTTAATGGGAGGGTTGGAGGTGGTGGAGGGGGTTGTGGTGGGGTGTGGGAGTGAGGTTGGGTGTGGGGGGGTGCCATATCATCTTGCTAATATGTGAGGTGCAACACTTCAATCCATTACATGAAGGGTAACACCTCCTCCATGGATGAGTGCCCTTCTTCCCCGCCAGGCGCTGGGGCGGGGCTTCCAGCGGCACTCCGCCAGCTGATTGGCCACTGTCGCGCCAGGAGATAGTGCTTCCAGCCTCCTGATTGGCGGAGAAGCCACACACACTCTACCAACCCTAACCCTTAACAAATCCTCTACAAATCTAATTCTCAACTAACACCATATTTACCATTAACATTAAACAAAATAATATATTAATAGTGTATACTAGCGAGATAACGTCTGTGGGTTAAAGGAATGAGGCTTAAAATTGATTTAAGATTAGTGTGTGAGTGACGTAGGGTTGGCACCCCTGTGCAGGGGTTCGGGAGGGGGGTGGTCGCTACTCCGTCGATCAGAGTTGTTGGTAAGTCCGTCAGGGCAAGATGACGCAGCCTCAGTGACCACTATCTCCTGGATTTAAGGCTCCTCGTGCACCGTGGTGTCCGTGTGATCACTTGTACATGTAGTGTCGCCTGTGGTGTTGCTCTCATGCGGGAAGTGTGCGTGGAAGGTGTCGCCATGAGCACAAGCGTGGCCTTGCCGCTGTTTTCGGCTTGCAGAATGTCGGACTTACGTCGCGAACTGGTCCGCAGTTCGATCCCCGCCCAGGAGCGCACAGCGCAGGTCCGCAAGAACCTCTTCGGACCCATAGACCACGATGAGAACCTCAAGTTCGTGCAGGATGAGCTTAGCAAGATCTCCCAGGCGGATTGCAAGCGTTGGAACTTTGATTTCAAGACGGAGAAGCCGCAGGAAGGTCGTTATAACTGGCAGAAAGTGGGTGAAGGCGTACCCCAGGCCTACGAGATGCCCAGATTGCGATATCTTAGTACCCACGCAGCCACAGCGTCGGGAAAGAGCGTTACAGACACTGCGACCACCTCCAAGCAACAGCACACTACAGTGGTGACGCCCACGCCACTGAGGAAAGTACCTGATGCGAGGGGCACTCACTGCCCTTCCCCAGTGGTTGACCAGCCATCCACCACAACCTGTCCCACCACAACTACCACCGCCAAGAATGCTTTAACCACTGCCTCTTCAGCGTCGACTCCAGTTTCGTCTTCAAAATCCACTTTAAAACCCACTTCCTCCACCTCAAAATCCACTTCCTCCTTAAAACCCACTCCCAAACCCACTTCCTCCACCTCAAAACCCACTTCCTCCACCTCAAAACCCACTTCCTCCACCTCAAAATCCACTTCCTCCTCAAAACCCACTCCCAAACCCACTTCCTCCACCTCAAAACCCACTTCCTCCACTCCCAAACCCACTTCCTCCACCTCAAAACCCACTTCCTCCACTCCCAAACCCACTTCCTCCACCTCAAAACCCACTTCCTCCACCTCAAAACCCACTTCCACCTCAAAACCCACTCCCAAACCCACTTCCACCACCTCTAAACCCACATCCACCACAAGTCCCACAAGCAGAGCCCACAGCTCCCGCCTGCCTACTCCACTACCTAGTACTAGCCTGGCTAGTACTAGCGAGGCTACAGTAGTGGTAGTTAAAGACAGTGGTGGTCGAGTGGGAGTACCAGCACTCAGTGGTGGTCGAGTGGGAGTACCAGCACTCAGTGGTGGTCGAGTGGGAGTACCATCACTCAGAAGTACTCGAGCCAGGCCAGCACAGCCTCCAGTTACAGGTGAACATTGTAGCCTCTTACGTACGTTGAGTCTAGTACAGTGGGGGATGTGTACGTTGAGTCTAGTACAGTGGGGGGATGTGTACGTTGAGTCTAGTACAGTGGGGGATGTGTACGTTGAGTCTAGTACAGTGGGGGGATGTGTACGTTGAGTCTAGTACAGTGGGGGATGTGTACGTTGAGTCTAGTACAGTGGGGGATGTGTACGTTGAGTCTAGTACAGTGGGGGGATGTGTACGTTGAGTCTAGTACAGTGGGGGATGTGTACGTTGAGTCTAGTACAGTGGGGGATGTGTACGTTGAGTCTAGTACAGTGGGGGGATGTGTACGTTGAGTCTAGTACAGTGGGGGATGTGTACGTTGAGTCTAGTACAGTGGGGGGATGTGTACGTTGAGTCTAGTACAGTGGGGGATGTGTACGTTGAGTCTAGTACAGTGGGGGATGTGTACGTTGAGTCTAGTACAGTGGGGGATGTGTACGTTGAGTCTAGTACAGTGGGGGATGTGTACGTTGAGTCTAGTACAGTGGGGGGATGTGTACGTTGAGTCTAGTACAGTGGGGGATGTGTACGTTGAGTCTAGTACAGTGGGGGATGTGTACGTTGAGTCTAGTACAGTGGGGGATGTGTACGTTGAGTCTAGTACAGTGGGGGATGTGTACGTTGAGTCTAGTACAGTGGGGGATGTGTACGTTGAGTCTAGTACAGTGGGGGGATGTGTACGTTGAGTCTAGTACAGTGGGGGGATGTGTACGTTGAGTCTAGTACAGTGGGGGGATGTGTACGTTGAGTCTAGTACAGTGGGGGGATGTGTACGTTGAGTCTAGTACAGTGGGGGATGTGTACGTTGAGTCTAGTACAGTGGGGGATGTGTACGTTGAGTCTAGTACAGTGGGGGATGTGTACGTTGAGTCTAGTACAGTGGGGGATGTGTACGTTGAGTCTAGTACAGTGGGGGATGTGTACGTTGAGTCTAGTACAGTGGGGGATGTGTACGTTGAGTCTAGTACAGTGGGGGGATGTGTACGTTGAGTCTAGTACAGTGGGGGATGTGTACGTTGAGTCTAGTACAGTGGGGGATGTGTACGTTTAGTAGTACAGTGGGGGGATGTGTACGTTGAGTCTAGTACAGTGGGGGATGTGTACGTTGAGTCTAGTACAGTGGGGGATGTGTACGTTGAGTCTAGTACAGTGGGGGGATGTGTACGTTGAGTAGTACAGTTGGGGATGTGTACGTTGAGTCTAGTACAGTGGGGGGATGTGTACGTTGAGTCTAGTACAGTGGGGGATGTGTACGTTGAGTCTAGTACAGTGGGGGGATGTGTGCGTTGAGTAGTACAGTGGGGGGATGTGTACGTTGAGTCTAGTACAGTGGGGGATGTGTACGTTGAGTCTAGTACAGTGGGGGATGTGTACGTTTAGTAGTACAGTGGGGGGATGTGTACGTTGAGTCTAGTACAGTGGGGGATGTGTACGTTTAGTAGTACAGTGGGGGATGTGTACGTGGAGTCTAGTACAGTGGGGGGATGTATACGTTTAGTAGTACAGTGGGGGGATGTGTACGTTGAGTCTAGTACAGTGGGGGATGTGTACGTTGAGTCTAGTACAGTGGGGGGTGTATACGTTTAGTAGTACAGTGGGGGGATGTGTACGTTGAGTCTAGTACAGTGGGGGATGTGTACGTTGAGTCTAGTACAGTGGGGGGATGTGTACGTTGAGTCTAGTACAGTGGGGGGATGTGTACGTTGAGTCTAGTACAGTGGGGGATGTGTACGTTGAGTCTAGTACAGTGGGGGGATGTGTACGTTGAGTCTAGTACAGTGGGGGATGTGTACGTTGAGTCTAGTACAGTGGGGGGTGTGTACGTTGAGTCTAGTACAGTGGGGGGATGTGTACGTTGAGTCTAGTACAGTGGGGGATGTGTACGTTGAGTCTAGTACAGTGGGGGATGTGTACGTGGAGTCTAGTACAGTGGGGGGATGTATACGTTTAGTAGTACAGTGGGGGGATGTGTACGTTGAGTCTAGTACAGTGGGGGGATGTGTACGTTGAGTCTAGTACAGTGGGGGATGTGTACGTTGAGTCTAGTACAGTGGGGGATGTGTGCGTTGAGTCTAGTACAGAAAATGAACCATAGCCAGGTTGTGGTTCATTTTCTGGACAGAGTGCACTCAGCATCAATAGCCTGGTTGATCAGGCCTTGATCTACCAGGAGGCCTTGTCTGGGACCAGGTCCTGGGGGCACCGACCCCCAAAATAGAATTCCTGTATCCATCAATGTGTACACTGGCTATCGTGAGGGCGTGGATACAGTAGGTTATGGTTTTGGGGTAGCACCGTAGGCGTGGGCGTGGGGTAGCACCGTAAGCGTGAGCGTGGGGTAGCACCGTAAGCGTGGGCGTGGGGTAGCACCTTAAGCGTTGGCATGGTGTCAGTACCACAAGCATGGGCGTAGGGTCAGTACCAAAAGAATGGGCGTGGAGTCATTACCACAAGCATGG